AAAGGAAAAGAAAAATTTTCAACGCGAAAAAGAAATCGTCGAGGGGTCGAAATAAAATGGGGGGAGGGGGTAAGAAAGAGAGGGGGGTAGAATAAGAAAAAAAAAAAGGTTTTCTTTTTTCCGAAAAAAAATTTTATTAAAAAAAAAAAAATTCAAAACAATCTCGCGCGTGAAAAAAAAAAACAAAAAATTTTATATTTAATAATTTACGAATGAAGAATTTATTATTATTATTATTTTTTTAATAAAAATAATAATTATTATTATTATTTGAACCTTTTTTAAACCTTTTAATAACCTTTTAATGAGATTTTTTTTAAAGTCTTTACTTTTTTTTCAAAAAAAAGGAAAAAAAGGGGAGAAGAAAAGGAGGAAAAAAAAACCTTTTAAAAGTGTTTTCTCTCTCATTCTCTCTCTCTCTCTCTCTTTCTACTTAATAATAAAATAAATTAATTTTTTTTTTTTTTTTAATTCTCTTTTAGTTTTTATGACGTCATTTAACTGTCTGCCTCGTATTGACTTTAATAATAATAATGATAATAATAATAATAATAGTAATCGAATCTGTTGACTTTGTGATAAGAATAAATTTATTAAAATGAATTTTTTTTTTTTTTTTTTCAAATAATCGATAAATCGATATTTTAATGAACGAGATATTTAATCGTTAAGTAATTAAAAACATTTTTTTGTAGTATGGGAGCGTGGGGACGGGGGACGGGTGGAACTGTTCCTCCTCCTTTTAAATTGTTTTTTTTCCCCCTTGTCCCTCCCTCCCTCCCTCCCTCTCTCTCTCCTTTGAAAATTTATTACGACGAGTGTGTGAAAATTTTGCGGGTTTTTTTTCGATGGCGTGTAAATTTAAATTATTTCTTTTCTAAAACTTTTTCTTACTTTAAATCGTGTATTATTCGAGTGGAATTTTATAAAGAGAGAGAGAGAGAGAGGAAGGTAGGGGTAGAAGGAAAAGAGGGGAGGGAAAATTTTAAAAGGGGTTGTTGAAGAAGAGAAATGATAAATTATAAAAAAAAAATTTTTTTCTTTTTTTTTTTTTTTTAATCGTAATCTGTAAAAAATTCTATTTGACTTTTCATCTCTCTCTCTCCCTCTCTCTCTCTCTCTCCCTTCTCTTTCTCTCTTTTTATCTAATTACCCTTCATCCGAAAAAGAAACGGGGGGGGGGAAAAAAAAATTTTTTTTTTTTTGTCGAACTCTATTTAAATTACCTGAATCCCGTAATTAAAGTTTTAACGAATTTAAATAGAAAATTAAGTTTTTTTATTTAAAAAAAAAAAAAAAAAAAAAAAAAAAACTTAAAATTAAGTTAAACTTATTTAACGATGTGTTCTCTTCTTTTATTTATTTTTTTTTTAAATATAAAAAAGTTTTACGTCATCGATGACGTCATCGTTATAAACGTCATCGTCGGGTAAAAAAGAAAAAAATTCGAGAGAAAATTTTTTTCCGTTTTTTTTTTTTTTTTTTTTTGAAATTGAATAAAAAAAAAAAAAAAAAAAACAAACGAACGAACAAACGAACTAAGAGGAAATATTTGGATTTTTTTTTTGTCTAAGGGATAAAAGGAAAAGAGACAAAGTGGGGTAGGAGGGGGTGGAGGATCGGGGGAGAGAGAGAGAGAGAGGCGGGGGCGCAATCAAGAGAAAAAAAAAAAAAAGAAAAATTTTGGTGGCCGATTTTTTTTCTTTCTTTTACTTCTTAATACAAAGCGAAATGCGATAACGAAGAGAAAACGTACAAAAGAAAAAGGATGGAAGGGATGAAAGGGTGGGAAAATTGGGGAGTGGTAAAGGAGGAGGGGAGAAGGAAGAATGGAAGAATAAGAAAGGAAAAAAATGAATGCAAAATTTTCCCCAAAGTCGTGCCTGAAACTATTTTGTTGAATTTTTTTTTTTTATTTTTATTTTAAATTCAATATATATATTATTTGAATATAAAAAAATATATTTTCCTCTTTCTCTCTCTCTCTCTCTCTCTCTTTCACAAAATGAGCGGATAAACTTTTCAGTGTCGATTTTTGAATGATGAAAGCGAAAGAGAGGAAAAAAAAATGGCGGCGGTAAGAGAGGTAAAATTTGCGAGAGGAAAAAAAAAAAGAAAAAGCGAAAGTTTTTCCAAAAGTTTCTTCACAATTTGACGTATTTAAAAAAAAAAAATTTTTTTTTTTTTCGCGATGGGGAGGGAGTGGAAGAAAGAGTGAAAAGATTAAAGTTTCGGTTGGGGACGGGGAGGGGAGGAGCGTTCAGTTAACGATCGCTAAATAGTTTTGTTAAGGAAAAGAAAATTTTTGCTACAAATAATTATTAAAAAGTAATCGTCGTTTTTCTTTTCTTTTTCTTCTTCTTCCTTCCTCTTTTCTTCTCCCTTATTTTGAAACCCCCAAAAATTAAATTGATTTTCCCTCCCCCTCCCTCCCTTCTCTTCGAACAAAAAAAAATATCTCTCGTTAAATCGCATGTATATTTTTATCCAGAATTAACTTTTAAACGTTTTTTTTCATTTTCCAGTCGCTTCCGCCGCCCCCACATTATTTGAACATCGAATTTAACGCCCCCCTCCCTGCTTTTTTAGACTTTAAAATTTTTTTGGTTCTTTACCCCCCACACACCACACAATTTTCCAAAAAAAAAAAACTTTTCATTTTCCGTTTTGTCTTCCAGGAGTTTTCCTTCTCTTCATCATTAAAAATTTTCCACGAATTCCATCACATTTTTTTTTCCCTCTTCATTCGTGTGAAGTCAGTATATTTCAATATTACAATTTGTTTGTTTTTTATTAAAAATAATAATAATAATAATAACCGGTAGCAACAAACAAACAAACAAACAAAAAACAAACGTAGGTAAAAAAAAAAAATAATTAACAAAGGAACCAATTAGACATTAAAATCAGACGTAATAAGATTTTTTTTTTTTCGTAATAAAAAACAAACAAACAAACAAACAATTCGCACCGGCCGGAAATAATGAGAAAGAGAGAGAGAGAGTGTGTGTGTCAGCAAGAGAGAAAGAGAGAGAGAGAGAGAGATAGAAAGGATCGTGCGTTTAATATATAAAAAAATAATAATCACAGAAGAGAATTCTTTTACCGAGGGAGGGGAGTGGGAACGTACGACCCACTTCCGCCATTTTTATTTTTACTATGACGTCATAAAATTTATTAATTAACATCGTTATTTATTTATTTATGTACATAACTCACAGATTTTATTTTTGAAAAAAAAAAGAAAAAAAAATTCACATTTACGCACGGCCATATTTTATTTTCTTATTAAATAAATAATTAAAATGCCCGACGACCGAGTCTTATTATTATTTTCATTTTCTTATCTATGAATAATGATAATAAAATGTTTAAACGATCCCCCTCCCCATAAATTAACGGGGGGAGGGGGGTTGTTGCTGTTTTTTTTGTAATTAAAACTCAAAGCGGGGTGGAAAATTAAATTATATATAATGATACACACACACACTCGTATAAACCCTTAATAAATTTTTTATTTGCGTATACACGCACTCGTAAATGTTTCTCTCTCTCTCTCTCGCACACGCACACGCACACGCACTTGACCACATAAATTTTTTTTTTTTTTTTTTGAGGAGGTAAATAAGAAACAAATGACGACGTCGCGATTCAATTCCTTTTCCTTTTTTCAAATTTTCCCTCTTAAAATAAATATATGTCGTCTGCAATTCTATAAATATAGACTATATTTTGACTATGCTATATTTATAGACTATTTTTTTGAAAAATAATTTTTTTTTTTTTTTGCTTTATAGTCTATAAATAGAATTTTTTGCGATTGGTTCGATTTCCCGTATTTATTAATCATCGATTAAATACATTTTTTTTCCCTTTGTGACGTCACATTTATTTAAAAAAAAAAAAAAGAAAATTTATTCCCGCATGAGTTTTCATGATTGTTTGTTGTTTCCTTTGACCGTTTGGATGGTCGATTCGTTTGTTTGTTTGTTTGTTTGTTAACTTGTTTGTTAAAAAAGTAATTTTTTTATTTTTATTTTTTCCCCATCGTAATTTCGCCGCCGAGATTTTATTACTTTTCTTATGAGTAAAATTTTTTTTTTTTTTTATTTGTTGATCGTGAAATTTTATAGAGTTTTTGTTTTGTACCGGAAATGATGAAATATTATAAGAGGTAAAAAAAAAAAAAAAAAAGGAAGTCGAAGAAAAGAAAAAGAAAAGAAAAGGGGGGAGGGAGGAGGGGTAAGCGGAAGGGTTTTTTGGGGGATGAGACGAGGGGATATATATTTTTTTTTTTTTCTATTTAATTTTAGGTTTTTTTTTTTTTTTTTTGCTACCGGAAATAATAAATTCAAACCTTTGGATTATTATGGTTTGTTTACTTACACGACTATAATTTTGTTTGTACCATTTTTTTCATTTCCTTTTTCCCTTTTATTTTTTTTTCTTCTAGAATTTTCTTTTTTTCTTTTTATTTGTTTTACGGTAACGTTATATATTTATTACGTAATAATTTCGTTTTAATTTTTTATTTTTTCTTTCCCCCCCACCCACCCTCCACCGTTTAAATTTTATCGGAATTTCTTTTTTTGGGGGCGTAGAGGGAGGGAAAGGGGAGAATATAGCGCTATAAAATAATCGATTTAAGTTTTGCCATAATTTGTCATTTGTTATAATATAAATTCTAACTTTTGTTTTTCTTTCTTCCGCCACGTTTCTACGTTTCTATTCGGTTTCGTTTTAATTTTTTCTTTTTTTTTATTCTTATGCCACGGCGTCGGTTGGAATTTAAAAGTCATTCACGACGTTTTGCAATTGAGACCACGTGTTCGCGTGGTTTTAGATAAATAAATAAAAAAATTTAATGATTAATTTTTGTTTTGTTTTGTGTTTGTTTTGTTTTCAGTTGTTTAAAGGGAGATTTCGTAAAAGTTTTCCTACATTTGGAAAAAGCCGAAGTCAACGAATACACTCCGTGGTCTTTGATTTTATGCGGCGGCATGGCGGATGTTCCGCACACACTTTACAGTTCGGGACCAAGTTTGATTTTGGCTTTTCACACCGATAAAAGATCGAGTAATTCATCTGGATTTTTTGGAAATTTCCGATTCGTCGACAGACGTGAGTTTTTCCTTTTTTTTTTTTTCTCCCTTTGTCCCCCCCGTGATTTTCGATAAAAAAAAGATAATAATAATAATAATAATAAATCGGGATTCCAGTCAAATTATTGGATAATAATAATAATAATAATAAATTACCATTTGAAAAGATGACAAGGAAAAAAAAAAATTTTTCATTTTTATTTTTATTTTATTGGTTTTTAAAAAATGGCGCGAACGTGAACGGAAATTATTTCATATAACTATTATTACCTATTATCATTATTATTATTTAATTTTTCCTTATTATTATTATCATTATTTTTATTTGTTTTTTTTCGAGAAATGAGGAGTTGATATAAAAAAAATTGAAACGTTTTTAAAAAAACCTAGAATTAAACGCGTTTTCCTCTCTCTTCCTCTTTCTCTCTTTCTCTCACTTCGTTTTCTCCATAATAAAAAAAAAACACTGGAGGTAAAAAAAAAAAAAAAAAAAAATGGCACAAACCTTGTGGAAAATGAAAAAAAAAAAAAAAAAAAATTAAAGTAAATAAAATACTAAATGAAAATTGAATCGAAAGGAAGAAGAAGAAGGAAAACGTTTCGTTTGCTCCAGGGCTCCTTTTTATGGAGAAAGAGAAAAAAAAATCAGCCACGATTTTTTTTTTTTTTTTTTAAGGATTCCAGTAAAGATGAAAAGAAAATCGTAATGATAATAATAATGTGAAATTTTTTTATTTGTCCAGCGTTTTTTTAAAAATCGAATTCAATCACGCACGTTTCGATAAAAAAAAAAAAAAATAAATAAATAAATTTTTATTAAAAACAAACAAAACTATATATAAACTGTACGAAAAAAATTTTTCCTTTAAAACAAAAAAAAAAAAAAATGAAAAACCGGAAATGGTTTTTTCACCCCCCCCCATTATTATAAATTTGCAAAAAAAAAGGCGCGAAAAAAATTTAAAATTGTGACGACTTCAAAGTGTCAAAATTAAAGAAAAAAAATTCGTTAAAAAACCAAAAGACGCCATTTTGACGCCGTTTTTTTTTTAAATGTTGGCGACATTTTTTTATCCCCGCGCTTTTCAAATTAAATTTAAAAAAAAAAAAAATTTTTTTTTCGTTTTAAAACATTTTCATTCGATATTTTTACGATTAATCGAGCGATATATCGCGATTCGATTCAAGAAAAGTTTTTTTTTCGTTTCGATATATCGAATAACGACAAATCATTTTATTTTTTTTCTTCGATTAAAATTAAAATTAATTTTTAAACTTTTCTCATCGCACTTTTGTTAATCAAATGATAATAATAATGATAATAATAATAATAATAATAATAATAATAATAATAATAATAATAATAATCGTTTCTATAATTACAGCCGTCGTTTCATGTGAAATAATTTTCTCTCGTTCTCGTTTTTTAAAATCTTTTTGTTTATTATTATTATTATTATTATTATTATTATTATTATTATTATTATTATTACCGTCTACATACATAATCGTTTTCGTCGTCATCGTCGTCGTCGTCGTCGTCATTATTATTATTATTATAACTTGCGGCTATTAATTATTTAAAATCGAATTATTGCGTCGGCTATACTAACCATTTTTTTTTTTTTTTTTTTAATAAATGAAAACGATGAACGAGTTTAAAATTATAGTTCGAGATGACAAAGAAAATATAGAGAACTATATAAATTATAGACTATTAATCCCTAAAGTTTTTTATTTTGCGTCTGATGCGCTATAAAACGCTATAAAAATGCGAATTTTGTTGTAAAATTCTTTGATGAGAAAATTGAGGAAAGAAGGAAAACTAAAGAGGAACTATAAAGTTACAGTTTGGAAAGAAAAAAGGGAAAAAAAAATTATCATTATTATTATTATCATCATCATCATCGTCGTCGTCGTCGTCATCATATTTGAAATATTATATTTTATAAAGGGTTTAATGGAAAGGGAAAGGGGGGGAAGGAAGAGAGGAAGAAGAAGGGATTTGTTTTAATTTTATAAATTTGACACTCCGTTTTATTTTTATTACTTTTGTTTTGTTTTTTTTTTAATAATAATAATAATAATAATGATAATAAAACGAGTAAAGGAAGGGGGAAGGGGGAGAAGGGAGGGGGTGTTTTAAGTGTTTGATAATTAATACTCTCGTTGAAGAGTAATAATAATAATAATAATAAAAGTTTACGTTTGTAACTCGAGTTTTTTTTTTTTTTTGTTTGTTTGTTTGTTACGTAATTAAAATTTAAGAGTCCGATTTTTTTTTTGTTTCTCCGTAACAGGAAAAAGAAAATTTTATAAAAATTTAACAACCGGAAACGGGAATCGATTTCCGGAAAAAGAAAAAAAGGGGAAAAAAAATTAATTTATAAAATAATTTTTCAGACGGAATTCAAATTACATTTTTTTGTTATTTTTCATTTTTCTTCCACCTCCTTCCACCTCCGCTTTTCCTTCCCCGTTCCGTTCGATGGATCGATCGATCTATCGATGAGCTGTCAATCAATCGTTTCGATAATAAAAAAAAAAAATTTTTTTTTTTTTCATTTTTTTTTTTTTGTGCAATTTTCTTAATTATAACCGACAGGTTAAAACAATAAAAATGTCTTCTTTCTAACTACTGCGCCGCTTTAATACATAATAATAATAATAATAATAATAATAATAATTAAGGTCGCGATCCTAATAATAATAATAATAATAATAATATAAATAATTTACGGTGATGAGAAAAAAAAAATAAAACAAAAATTTTTTTAAATTTTAAATGACGTACAATTTGCCTAAACATTTTTAACACGGCGTTTTCCAACGGAATTCCGTAAGGTTTTATTTATTAATTTTTTTCTGTATTTTTTTTTATTTTCAGGATTGTTTCAAACGGACGGTCAAAAGTTACCAGGTACCAAATGTGATTATCAATTCATAAGTTCAAATTATTCACTCATACACGGTAAATTTTATTCGCCCAGATACCCGTCGAATTATCCGAAAAACGTTAAATGCTCGTATAAATTCCGTGGTAAATTCAAAGAAAGAATTCAAATTGTTTTCGAGGAAGTGACCTTACAAAAAGGAGATTTGAGGTGAGTGAATTTTTTCTTAATTATAAAAAAAAAGGTTGAGGGGAGGGGAGGGAATGGGGGTGGGGGGAACGTCGAAGATTTGGTGAAAATCGTGTCGAACCGCGTAAACGTGCGGTTTATATTTAAATCGATTAAATCCCGTTAATTGTTTTCATCTTTTTTTTTTTTATCTTAATTCATTCTCTCTCTCTCTTTTTTCCTCTCTCTGTCTCTCTCTCTCTCTTTCTTCCCTCTCTTTCTCTCTCTCTATTTTAAACATCATATGACAGACTCAGTGACTATTTTTCTTTTTTTTTTTTTTTTATTCTACATGTTCCTTTTTTTTTTTTCTACGGAGGATATTCAATGGAATTTTTACGTTCAATTTAATTTTTTCCTTTTTTTTTTTTAACCTTTTGTCCTTTGAAATTCTAGTCGGTTGATCTTAACATTCCTTTTACAATTTATATATATATATATATATATATATATATATATATATATATATATATTTCACGTTTGTCGTTTGTATTTTTTTTTTCTTTTTTTTCCTTTTTTTTTTTTCATTTTTTTATTTTATTTTTAATTTTCGAATGTTTTTCTTTTTTTTCCTTTTTTTTTTTTTTTCAATATAAAAAGAAAATTTATTTTGATTAAATATCCGTTTCCTCTTTTTTCTTTTTTCCTTTTTTTTTTTTATTGTTGTTTCCTTTGATTTATTTTCAAAAAAATATTTTTTTTTTCGAGAATTTTTTTATTTTTTCTTTTTTTTTGTTCCTTTTGTTGCGATTTAATTTTTTTTTTTTTTATTTTCGATTAAAATCACGAGGCGGCTTTTTTTTTTTTATTACAATCTTAACTATTTTTACTTCGTGAAATAATAATAATAATAATAATAATAATAATAATAATAATAATAATGATGATGATGATGAAGATGATGATGATGATAGTGGCGGGGGTGAAAAATAAAAAATATTAAATTGATTAATTTTTTTTTTGTTAATATGTTAACATCGTCGAATAATCTTCGTTAATTCTAATAAGTATTTTTAAGCGATAAATAATAATAATAATTTTACATCCGTTTCCGGTTTGTGCGTGTGTTTGTGTTTTCGCACGTGTTGGTAATTTTCTTTTGTCGTAACGATAATTTTATAAAAGTAAAAAAATTTATTTTCGCGTTCGAATATTTTTATTTTTTTTTTTGATTTTTTAACGTATTGTTATAATAATAACAACAAGAAAAGAAAATCGATTTTTAACTCATTCATTTCATCATACATCACAACAATAACAACAACGACAACAACAACAGCAAAAGCAGAAGCAACAACAACAACAATAACAACAGAAAACAGAAAAAAAAAACGAAACGAAAAAATGAGATAAATGAAAAACGTATCACAATGACAAAAATAAATCTTTTCATTCGATGCAATTCAATTATAATAATAATAATAATAATAATGATAATGATGATAATAATAATAATCATCATCATCATCATCATTATCATTATCGTTTTCTTTTTTTTTGTTGTTGTCCGATTTTGAAATATCGAATGACGTATTAACAACGAGAAAAAAATTTTTTTTTTTTGTACGAGTGCACGTGTACTTAAAGTACTCGACGATTAAATTTGAATTTGAATTTCCCGCGTAAAAAAATTTTTTCCCTTCCGGAATAATAATAATATTAATAATAATGCACGAGCGTATTATATAAAAGGAGGGTCTGGTTTTTAAAAAAATATTTAAGAAAAGAAAAAAAAAAAGATGGGGAGAGAATGGGGGAAGGGTTAAAAAATTAATAATTTTTTTTTGGGGGGGGAGGAAGAAAATCCCAGATTTCGTTCCCGTTCCCCAACGGGAACTCTCTCTCGAAAAAAAAAATGGGAAGGAGGGAAATGGGGCAAAAAAAATTTAATAAAAGATTTTTATTTATTTATTTATAAACGAAACGAGAGAGCGAGCGAGCGGGGAGGGGGAGGGAGGCGGTATAATTTTTAATTGTTGTTGTTGTTGTTTGTAGCTAAAAAAAATAAAATAAAATAAAAAACAACCTGTTACGTAACGTAGAAAAGTAATAATTTAAATCCAGTTGTAAATTATGGCAGTAATTTTTGTTTTTTTTTTTTTTCTAGAGGAAAAAATAGAAAAATTAAAGAAACAATAATAATAATAATAATAATAATAATAATAATAATAATAATAATAATAATAAAAGGTTGAAATGTTTTGACGACGATAAGAGTCGAGAGTGAAAATGGGAAAAGTTTTTTTTTTTTTTTTTTTTATCACACAACACTTATAGTTGAAATTATGCTATAATTTAAAACGTTAAAATAAAATTTATAGCGATTTAAGTTTTGTTTTGTGAGAAAAATTACGTCATCGTCGTCATCGTCGTCATCATCATCATCACGATTATCACGATCATTAAATTAATTATTATTAAACGATAAAATTATTAAAAATATTATATAGCATTTATAGCGCGTTTATTTAAAAAAAAAAAAAAATTAAAACGTTAAATGTCTAATAATAATAAAAATAATGACGTACGAATAAATTACGACATTTTATTTCTCGAGGTAAAAAAAATAAACGTAGTTAAAACTATAATAATAATTATAGCGCTATAATTTTTTTTTTTAAGAAAACGTTAACGACCGCGATAAAAAAATTTCTCGCGTGTGTAAAATTAAAAAAAAAAAAAAAATTAAAATTTTCGCGTGTAGTAATTTTTTTTTTTTTTCGATAATTATTTTATTGATTTTATTATTATTATTATTATTATTATTATTATTATTATTATTAAAATGTATAATTTATTACGTAATAATTTTTATCAATTTGAATTAATTACAAGTACGAAAATATTAACCGACCGATTCATGTTACGTTAATAAACGTATGACGTATTTATATAATTTGAAATGCGCGCGCTTTTTTTCTTTATGGGGAGGGAAGAAGGCGGTGGAAAGAATGGAAAATACAAATGTCGCATTTTTTAATTAACAAAATTGTTTTTTTTTTTTTTTTTAAATAAATTAATGTGACTTTTTGTTTATTTACGCGATTTTTTTTTTTTTTTTATTTCGTAATATTTTGAAAACACGAAAACATGAAAAACAAACATGAAAATATTTGCTGACGGTTATATTTTATATCCGGTTTAAGTGTTTGTTTGTTTGTTTGTTTAAACGTTATCAGAGTGAACGGGTGATTTCACGTTGCTGCACCCTTGCCATCATCAATTAATTTAATTTCATCATATCATCCCTTTCTTCCTTTTTAAATTTTCATCATCTCCTCTCTCTCTCTCTCTCTCTCTCTCTCTCTCTCTCTAATTTAATTTATTTCATGAGGGAAAAAAAAATTTTTTTGGCGGGAAAAAGAGAGTCAATTTAAAAAAAAAAAAAATACATAATAACGATGATGTGTTCGTAGTTGTGACGTCATTAAAATAACATTAAAAACTTTTTTTTATTGTTTTTTATTCGTCATCCCGATCGAGATGGGGAAAAAAAAAAAAGGTTCGAATGTGACAAAAAAAAAAACTTTATATCCGCCGCCGCCGCAATTGCCCCCCTCCTCTGCATCCGCCCCCCATTGCCCCCTCCTGCTTTTTTCCTCAACACTTTATGAATGGTCTAATTGAAATTCAGTTTTAGAAAAAAAAAAAATTTTTTTTTATGAACTGTTATTGAAACTTTTCGACTATACAAAATGTATGTGCGGAGGTGAAACAATGAGAGAGAGAGAGAGAGAGAGAGAGAGAGAGAGAGAGAGATGGGGGAAGAGGGGAAGGTAGAAAGAGAGAGAGAGAGATGGGGGAAGAGGGGAAGGTAGAAAGAGAGAGAGAGATGAAAAAAAAACATTAAACGAAAAATTTAAATTGATCCAAAGTTCAATTAAGATGAACTTTGTCAGTCACAACCGCGGTTTTGGGGAATTTCTCATGAATATTCAACAGATAAATTTTATATGAAAAAAAAAAGAGAGAGAGAGTGAGAGAACGAAACGTATTATAAGAGAGAGAAAGAGAGAAAAAATGTCAATTTAAAAAAAAAACCGTTAATTGATATTTTGCTATAATTTTTGTAGAAGTTAATAACGAATCGAACAATAATTAACGGAGGCGTTAAATTTTTTCTCCTCCTCGTCCTTTTTTTTTTTTTTTAATTTAGCAAACGTAAATTAAATTTTCTTTCATTCTTTATATTTACGCATTTAATAATTTCTTTTTTTTTCTAAACTTGAACGCTATATTATAGTAAATTTTACCGCTATATTAATTCGAAATGTTTTGATTTGCGATATTTAATTTTTTTTTAAGTATTTTATTTATTTACTTTATTATTACTCCGTCAATTATTATTATTATTATTTTGTATTATTACTTTTAAATAAATTTTATAGCGCGCTATAATTGATAAATAATTTTTAAAAAATTTCAAACACGTTAGATAATTTTTTAATTGAAAAATTCAAAAAAAAACATTAAAGAAAAAAAAATTTTTTTTTTAATTTTACAATTTCATGACTATAATTTTGAAGGAAAAAAAACGCGAATTATAGTTCTATAAAAAAAGTCTATAAAAAAAAAATTTTTTTTGAAATCCGCAATCGGAAAACTACGAAAATAGTTAAATTAATAAAACTCGTAGCTCGAGTGAAATCAATTCGCATTTTATTTTCGCAATAAATATAGCAAGTGTAATAGCGCTATAAACGAATCGATCATAAACGCTCTATATAATTACGCGAAGAAATAAATTTTTTATAGAGAGAGAGAGAGAGAGAAAAAAATTTAATTAACGTTTTATAATAATTCTTTATAGTAATTACCGTTCCGAAAAAAAATTTTTTTTTCAATAATATATAGTTTTATAGTCATCGAATCGGAAAAAAAATAATAATTCACATTTATAGCTCGCTATAAAATAAAATTAAAAAACTAATTTTAATCTCACAATTGAAAATTGTGTAAAATCGAATACTAATAATAATAATAATAATAATTTAAAAACTTTTATTATTATTATTATTATTTTTTGTTTAATAAACGAACGCGTCATTTATAGCGCTATAAATACATTACACCTCCACCACGATAATGTGATTTTTAATCCTTGGTCAATTGTTTGACCGTCCTAAATAAATAATTTTTAATTAAGGTTAAATATTATTATTTTCTTCCTTCATAACGCTCGCTATAAATTTTTCTCATTTTTTTTTTAAATAACTATTATCATCATTATCACGCAATATTTTTTTTTAATTACGGATTTTCATGCGTGTCATCTTCTTTCCACCCCCCCTCCTCCGCTCTCTCTCGCTCTCTCTCTCTCTTTTGTTAATAAAAAAAAAATGGTTTGAATCAATGAACGAATGATGTAGTAATAAATGTATAAATAAAATATTTTCAGTTGATTATTATTATTATTATTATTAAAATTTTCAGTTGTCTGAACAGAGCTGATTTGATAAAAGTTTACGATGGTGGAAGTTCAGAATATCCAGTGATAAGATCATTGTGCAATGAAATATCACAAGTTGAAATATTATCGACGGGACCCGATTTGTACATTGAATTCGTTGCAAATTCCGAGTGGCCCGGACAAGGATTCAAAGCGAATTATCATTTTCAAAATTTAGATGGAATCCATATTAACGGCAAGTATACCAATGCAATTTATACGTTAACAATTATGACGTCACCAATCATGACGTCATCGAGAAAAAAAATACGTATAATTTTTTAAATAATCGATCAATCGATCGATCAAACTTACTAAAATCGATGTTCGAGATGATAATTTAAAAAAAAAAAAAAACAAATCTTTACGAATCAAACAAACAAACAAACGAACGAACGAACAAACAAACAAACAAACGAGGAAACAAACGAACGGACGTTAAAAAAAAAAAATTTCGAATAACGACCCTTTTATTCCGTCGAGAGAGAGTAAAAATAATAAAAAAAAAACTTGATATCTGATAAAAATTAAAGTTTATATATATAATTCGGTTATGAGAAGAAGTTCAGTTAAAATTTTCATTATCGTTTTATTTGTTTTTTAAAATGAAAAAAATTTCGCGTGAAGGTTAGTTGAAATGGAAAATTCGCGGCCATTTTTTTTTCTTTTTTTTTTTTTTTTTACCACACTAATAATAATAAAAATCTTGCTTTCCCCTCCCTTCCCCTTCCTCCCTTCTTCTCCTTCTTCTTCTTTTTAATTAATTAATTTATTACTCGAGTAATTTATAATAACTTGGTGGTCATGTTTTTTTTTTTTTTGCAAATTCACTTTTATTAAAAATCAATGTTTATCTTATATCGAGCATATTTTTATTATTATTATTATTATTATTGTTATTACAACTTTTTCTTCTGCTACCACCACGGAAGAAATATTACCTGACGGACATATTTATTTATTTATACATTCGGGGTTATAATTTATTATTACTCGTCGTCGTCGTCGTCGTATTATTTATTTTTATTACTTTTGAATTATGTGTCGAACTTTAAGAAATGAAAAAAAAAAAAAAAAAAAAACAAGGAAAATTATTTATATTTTCTTCTGCCACGACAGAGAGAGAGAGAGAGAAAAGTTTTTTATGATAAATTTACGACGTTTCGACGACGAGTAATTTTTTTTAAACAAAGTTTTTGATTAATTCAAATCAGGAATTAAAAAATTCTGTGGTTAAAGGAATGAATGAATGAAAAGGTGGAAAATCAAAATGGCGGAAAAAAAATTTATTTAAATATATATATATATATATATATATGGCGTCGTTATTTTGCTATAAAGTAATATTTTTTTAGTTATTTAAATGATTTAATAAGTTTTATAGAAATTTTAATATTTAAAAAAGAAAAGAAAAAAATTTATATTTATAAAAAGTCACGTCGATAAATAAAACGTTATAAATAAAAATTATAGTGAGGATTTATAGCGGATTTATAGCGGATTTTTATAGCAAAAAAAAAAAAAAAGAAAAGTGAAAATCGATCTGTCTCCGTTTAACGATCGCTATAAATAATTTTCCTCTTTTTTTTTTCATTATTCACTTTTACTTTTCATCACGTTTTTTATTTTTTTTTATTTTCAACTTTATTAACTTTAAATTTATAGCGTCGTCGGTCTATAAACTTTTTATAAACGCTATAAAAGGATTTAAAGAAGAAAAAAAAAAAAAAAGTTCGCACGATTTTTTTTTCTTTCCAATTGATTAATTGACATACCCGAAAACTTTCTTTTATCGAGGAGGATGTCGTCCGTGGGGTGGGGCGTGGGGTAGGCCGTGGAGTAGGCCGTGGGGACGGCCGTGGGGTCGCCCGTGGGGGGTCGGGGTACGCGTTACAATTGTTTTAATTTTTTTTTTTTTTTTTTTTTCGAACGTAGTTTGCGCGAGTACGTACGTGATTAAAACGGAAAATTTTCTTCCTCTTTAACTTCTACCCCCCCCCCTTAAAGTTTAAACCTTTTTCCTGTTTTTTTTTTATTTACGCCGTATTGATTTCCCGTCGTTCCGTGTTTGTTTATAAAAAAATTATCGTGGAAGAAGACAATATAATAATTAAGAAATTGTTTTTTTTTTGATGATGACACACAAAGTAAAAAATAATACGTATTATTATTATTTTAATTATTATTATTACTATTATCGTAATAAGGGATGGTTCGCCATGGTTTTTGTTTAAAAATTTAAAAAGTATTTTTAAATGTAATTTTATTAAATGACGTCATTGAGATATTTTTAATAGGTAAAACCACGACGGACCGACGTCCGTGCGGTTTTCCATATTTTTATATATTATAAAATATTCATTTATAACAAAAAACGTGAGTTGTAAATATTTAAAAATTTTTTTAAATACGGTAATAAATATAAATTATTACCGTAATAAAAAAGAATAATAATAATAATAATAATAATAATTTTTTTCCCGTCGGAACGAATAAAAAAAGAGAAAGAAATTACTCGTCGTCTTTTTGAAAAAAAAAAAACAAATCGTTCTGTTTAGTGCCTCGTTACTTTTTCCAATTATTATCATTATCATTGTAAACAACAATCACAACAACAACAACAACAACCAAATTTTTTTCACTCGTTTCATTCGTTTTCCGAATAAAAAAAAAAGAAAAAGAAAAAAAACTTTAAAATTTTGTCGTTTTATTATAATAATAATAATAATTATTATTATATATTATTATTATTATTATTATCCACCATTAAACACGACAAGGCTACTTGTCGGGGTTTTTAAGTATTTATCCGAGGTTTCTACCCGATTCCTTAGGGACAAATACTCGAATTTCGGTGGTGCCACTTATTATAAGATAGCACCACATCAATTCTTGAAGGTCTTCCTGAGTCCATCTTTATTTGATGGGAACGATTTGTCTCCTGAACTGGGCTCCAGTGACTAACATCTTTGGAGTGGCCAGGGTCAGAAGCAGTGAAATTCACATTCTCGTCGAGCTGCCTCAGGTCGACAGTAGAACAAGATTTGTTTTTTGGTTCTTACTTTGTCTTGTTCTCATTTTTTTTTTTGCTCTTTTAAACCAACAGCACGTGGCGTTCTCAAACGGTCACCCATCCAAGTTTGCACCACGCCCGATGCTGCTTAACTTCGGTGATCGTACGGGAACCGGTGTGACCAGCACGGTATGGCCGTTGACTTATTATTATTATTATTATTATTATTATTATTATTATTATTATTTTGTTTAAACAATTAAATGAAAACTAAACGTATTATTAAAAAAAAAACAAGTAATTATTTACACGATTAAAAAAAAAAAAATTCTACGACCGCGGTAATAATAATAATAATAATAATAATAATAATAATAATAATAATAATAATAATAATAAAAAGATAAAAATAAGGGAAATTTTAATGACGTAATTTACACAAAATGGCGGGTTAAACAAAAAAAAAAAAAAAAATCTTTTTTAATGTAGTGACCAACCGGATAAAAATTATCCGAAAATTAATTTTCATTAAAAAAAAAAAAAAAGGTTCGGAAAGTGCGGGGGGGCAAAAAAAAAGGTTTTTAACTAATTTGTTTTTTAATTGTGTACGGAGGGGAGGAGAGAGGAGGGGAAGAAGAAGAAGAAGCGGGAAATTTTTTTTTTTTTAACCTTCCCACAAATTATTATTATTATTAGAAAAGGTAAATCCCATCGAATTTATTATTTCGTTTTGTTATCCTTTTTCTATTTTTTTTTTTTTATAAAATTAAAATATCAGGGGGAGGGGGAAAAGGGATACATTTTGAAATTTTTTTTTGAGGCGGGGGGAATAGACCACCCCCCTCATAATACGATTTATTATTTCGAATCCTTTTTTTTTTTTTTTATCGATGAGAAGATAATCGTCGATACGTCGATATTAATTAATTATTATTTTCGAAAATATTTTTTATTAAATTTTGTTTGTCGTTTGTTTGTTTGTTTGTTTGTTTGTTCGGTTGTTACATTTTAACACTTTCTTGTCTATAAATATATTTAAGCTAGGTAAAAACTTTTAAATTAGTTTTTATTACTCGTTCAAAAATGCCTGGGAAAATCTTTTTTTTTTTTTACTAAAAACTCTAACAACTTTTATTAAGTCACTTTAATCAAGTTTTGTTCGGAAAGAAGAGAAAGAGAGAGAGTGAGAGAGTGAGAGTGAAAGAGAGAGAGAGAGAGAGAGGAAAAAGTTTCCCTTGATCCTTCTTCCCGTTTTCTTTTTAACCTTACGCCCTCTCCCTCTCTCACCTCTCATGGTTTTCTCTTACGCCCCCCACCCAATTTCGAATCTTCCCCTTATAAAAAATTTTGAAAATTAAAATTTATTGATGACGTAATAATCACAGATAATTACGTCACATTAAAATTTAAACCATTTGGAAAAAAAAAAGAAAAAATTCGATTTTAAATAATTTTTGTAGTTTTTGTGTACGAAGGAAAAAATTACGTTTTCAATCTCCTCCTCCTCCCACCTCCCCAATTCCCCATTCTTAAAAATCATAACGTATTTTTTCTTTTTTATTATAAATAAGAGAGAGAGAGAGAGAGAGAGAGAGAGTGAGAGAGAATAAATGATGATGACATCATTATTGTGTATAATTGTTAATTAATTACAGGAAAAATAATTAATAAATTTATTTAGTTTATTTATTATCATTTAATAATAATAATAATAATAATAATAATAATAATAATAATAATAATGATAATGATGACGATGATGATGATGATAATGATAATTTATTAATTTTATTCGATTTTATTTTTATTATTTTCGTGGTGTAAACAAACAGGAAAAAATTTTCTTTTTCTTTATAATAATAATTTTTTTATTTTATTAATAATAATAATACGAATAATGATGATGATGATGATGATGATAATAATAATGATAATAATAATAATGATAATAATTCTACGAAAATAGGACTCTGGAATATTATTTTCTGCCGACAAGTTTTTTTTTTTTTATTTGTTACTTTCGATAGGTTTTGGATTATCCGTGTTTTAATATCTTCTTCCGCCATATTTGTTATTAATATTAATACTATTATTATCATCTAATTTTTTTAATTTTGCTAAAGGCATGACGTAAAAAGTAACGTTACGAAAATGTCGTCATCATCAATTTTTATCCATTTTTTTTTTTTTCGCATTGAATTTTTTTCTATTAACGACATTTTACCCACAAGAAAAATCCTTTGTTATGAATGTTTATTATTATTATTATCGTCGTCGGTATCATCCATAAAAAGAAGAAGGGGGAGGAAGAGAGGGACATATTTGTGGGGATACGATGAGGAAAAAATTTTTCAATACAATAAAAAAAAAAAAAAAAAGAAAGAGAAAGGAAAACAACAACAACAACAACACGCAAAATTGAATCGGGAAAGGGAAATTGAAAAGTTTTAAAGTCTGTCTGGATAATTTGGGATGAATGGGAGGTGTGGGGGTGTGGGTGGAAGGGGGGAAAGAGAAAAGAAAAAAGATAAGAAGGTAAAAATATGAAGGGTTAAAGGGAGTAAAATGAAAACGATGGTAAAAAAAAAAAAAAAAAAAAAAAAAGAAAAAAGGTGAGAAGGATTTCGGAAAAAAAAATGAAAAAAATTTTTGGAATTTTTTTTCTCATTTTTTTCACGCTAAAAAATTTCCTTTTTTTTTTCCTTTTTTTTCCTTTTTGGTGTTTTTTTTTTTTTTTTTTTTTTATTTATTTTTCTTACTTTTTATCAAAGGAAAAAAAACAGGAGCGTAGGTAGTAAAAAAAAAAAAAACGGAAAGGAAAAAAAAAAAAAAAAATTCGAAATTTTTTTTTCTTTTTCCCCTACTTATTTTAAATTTTTTAACCCCCTTCAACGGGGGGGGAGGGGGGAAGGGAGCAATCATCACCATCACCATTATTATTATTATTATTATTATTAACTTTCCGTTTTTTTTTTCTTACAGAATTAGAAAGGATAAATAATTACAATTCGAAATCGATTAAAGACAACGGGCCCTTCGTCAGCGCCGCAAGTAAGTCAAAATTTTTTTAATTATTGGAAAAAAAAAAAAACTTGAGTTTTTTTTAATGTTGCCCCCTCGAGGCCCCTTTTCCCTTCCTTCCTCCTCCTCCCACGCACACTTTTCTTTCCCCTCTTTTTTGTATTTTCCCGGGGTTTTTTTCCTTATCATTCTTTCAATTTTTTTTTCTTCCTCCGGATCGACTTTTGATCGCTCCCGACGGGAATTTCATTTAAATTAAAATCATCATCATCATCATCATCATTATTATTATTAATATTAAATATTAAATTTCGAAAGGGGCGGTCTTTTACGTTTTTAAAAAAAAAAAGAAAAATATTTCATTCCCTTCACAAACTCGGGGGGAAAAGAAAAACAAAAAACAAAATTTTTTTTTTTTACAAATTATTATTATTATTATTATTATTATTATTATTATTATTATTATTATGTTTACATTCAGAAAATTCTAGAACGGGGAAAAAATGACTTTGGGGGGAGGAGGAAGTGGGGCAAACTGAAATTACAGGGCAATAAAAGGTTTTTTTTTTTAATTTATTTTTCCTACACGATAACAAAAAAAAGAAAATTTTTTTCTTAACCGTCGGTCACGCAGTTTTTTTTTTTTGGAAAAATTACAAAACCTATTAACTCCGAATTTCATCATTTCAACGAGAAAAATACAAATGAAGAGGAGGAGAAGGGGAAGAAGTGGGGAGTAAAGCAAAAATTTGCGCGCGAATTTTAAAAATTACAAAAAATAAAAATTTTTTTTTTTTTGACTTGTAATGTTTTGATAATTTTACCGTTTTGCATTAATAATAATAATAATAATAATAATAATAATAATAATAATAATAATAATAATAATAATAATAATAATAATAATAATAACCTTTGTTAACCTTATTAATATTTGGTAACCTTTTCCACACAGCCCCCCACCCTTCCCCCATCCTTTGCAAATTTTTTTTTTTTTTTCGTTTTTCCAGAACCTTAACCCAGGCAATGACCTTTTCACAAAAAAAAAAAAAAAAATTCATCAAATGAAAAACGGCCGTTTTTTTAGGCGCGTTTATCATAAACCGTAATAAGGTTTTTTTAATTTCGAAGGGGTAGGCGGAGAGAGAGGGAAGGGGGAAGGCGGAGAGAGAGGGAAGGGGGAAGGCGGAGAGAGAGGGAAGGGGAAGGGGGTATTCAAGTTTCCGGATTATAGTTTTCCAAAATGTTTTTATTTATCCTCGACTCGTTAAAAAAAAAAAAAAAAAAAATCAATAATCGATCGATAATAATTTTAAATTTAAATGAGTTACAAAAAAAAAAGTTTTTTCTCTTTTTTTCTTTCTTTTATTTCTCTGGAAGGTAAAAAAAAAAAAAAAATTTATTTATAAAGGTCAAAAGGTTACCACAAAAGGTTACACATCTTTTTTTTTCGTTTTTAAATTAAATTTTATAAGAATAAATTAAAAGGTTTGGAAAAATAAAAAAAAATAAAAAAAAGTTTTCTTTTGTGTTGTCTTCTGCTGCTCCTACTTTCCTTATCTCGTATCTTTTTTTTTTTTTTGTTATTCTCCAGAAGGAGGAATAAAGAAAAGAAAAAAATCTATTCCAGTTTTTTTTGTTCGGGGAGGAAAGGGAAGGGAGGGAGAGTAAAAAGTTTTTGAATAAAAAAAAAATTTTTTTTAAATAATTTTAACGTGACATTAGAAAAAAAAATAATAGAAATCGTTTCCGTTTCCGTTTTGTAGTTTGTTTCTTTCTTTTTCCACGTATTGTTTTTTTTTTTACTGGAACTGGAAAATTAAATTTTAATTATATGATAATGAATCGAATTTAATATTATAATTTTTTTTTTTTTTTTAAATATTAAATTAAACGTAATTAATAAATTACTGGGTAATGAAATATTTTTTCCGGAAAAAAAAAGGCGGGAAAACTTTTTTAAATTTTAAATTTAAAAAACAACAAGAAAAAAAAAGAAAAATTTTAATTTTAAATTTTTTCTTATTTTTTTTTTTTCTTTTTTTTCTTTTCCATTAAATCTAAAATGAAAAATCATGGGAAAAAAAAGGAAAATTTAATGGGAAGGGGTTTAGAGGGGGGCGGTGGTGGTGGTGGTGGTGAGTGATGAGCGTGAGAGAGAGAGAAACCGACGACTGGAATTTTTTTTTTGTCTTGTCTTTTTTTTTTTTTTTATAACTTGATGGTTATAATTTTTTTTTTTTTTAAAAAAGTTTTTTTCATTTTAAATTTTTATTATAAAATCGGTGGCCGTTAAAAAATTGTTTAAAAACCTGAAAGAAAATTTTTTTTTTTTTTTTTTTTTTGCGGATTATCAAATTTTTAAATTAAAAATTAAAAAAGAAAATAAAAAAGAAAACTTTTTTTTTTTTAAATATAATTTTTTAACAATTTTCTCACCGAATTTTCCAGAAAAAAAAAAAAAACTTCTAAAGATGATTTTTTTTCTCCCTTTCCCCCTCTCCCTCCCCCCTTCCGATTACATTTTTTTCTTATTGAAAAAAAAAAAAAATTCTAGTGCCACGGCTTTAAAAAAACATATTTTCTAATGCCACGATAAAATGAGACGCAATGGAAAATATAACTTTTTTTTAAAATGGGGATAAAATACTCGATCGCGAATTTGTATGAATTTGATGGTTTTTTTTTTGTTTTTTTGTTTTTTTTTTTTTTTTTTTTTTTTTACAGTTTCCGGTTGCGACAAATTATTTTCAAGTGACACGTCAAAAAGTGGAATTTTCACGTCTCCCCAATATCCGAATTCGTATCCGCCGAGAACTCGTTGCCGATACGATTTTCAAGGTCGCGGAAGAGAAAGAATTCAAGTGAAATTTTTGGATTTTAATTTGCCTCAAACGACGGCGACGGCGACGGGGGAACACAAAGAGTAAGCCGGAAACCGGAAATACTAATAATAATAATAATAATACTTATTTGTTGTTTCGATCGTTTTGAATAGTTTTCGATTTTCCCGCCAGAAAAAAAAAAAAAAAAGAATATTATTATTAACGATGATATTTTGTTTTTTTTTTTTTTTTTTTTTTTTTCCCACCGGAAGTTGCGAAAGTTTAGATTCGATAAATGCTTACGTCCATACGGAAGGAAGACTGGAAAAAATTGATTCGTTTTGCGGTAATTCAGTGCCTAAATCCCTTATGTCAAACGGACCGAGACTAACGTTAGAATTTCGCGGGATTTATTCTTCTAGAAAAATCATCACGGGATTTAAAGCTTTTTACACGTTTACGGAAAGTGAGTTTTTCTTTTTTTTTAACTGTGACGTATGTCGATGATTATGATGACGTCACATTCGATAACTTTCTTGATACGCGATCGATTTTTTCTTGTTGTTGTTTGTTGCGTTTGTTTGTTTTTGTTTTATTTTTAGAATTTGGAATGACGAGAGGACATCAATTGACGGAATATCCCTGCGCATTTGTTTTCAATTCTAACGAATCACGTAATGGAACATTTTCCAGTCCGAATTTTCCCGGTTTTTATCCGCGTGACACGGAATGTCACTTTTTCTTTCAGGGAAGTCAAAAAGAAAAAGTTAATTTACATTTTAGTTATTTCGACGTGGAAGGAGTTTTGCCGTAAGTTTTTTTTTTTTTTTTCGTTTTTTTCACGCATGTTGGCAATATTGTTTATTCGTGAATATCAACGGTAGTGACAACAACCGATTTGTGAAATTTCCTTTTTCCTTCTCTCTCTCTCTCTCTTTCTACCTCTTTCTTCTTCTTTCTCTTTCTTGTTCTTTCTTCTCTCTTTGTCTCTTTCTCTCTCTGAGCCTCTTTTCTCTCTCTTTCCTTCTGTCTCTCTTTCTGCCTCTTTCTTTGTCTATCTCTTTCTTTCTCTTTCTATTTCTTTCCCTTTCTCTTTCCTCTCTCTTTGTTTCTCACTCTTGTCTCTCTTCTCTTCTCTCTCTTTCTTCTTTCTTTCTGCCTCTGTTCTCTTTAGTACTCTTTCTGTATGTTTTCTCTTTCTTTCTCTCTCTTTCTTCTCTCTTTGTATCTCTTTCTGTCTTTTCTTTTATCTCTCTTCTTATCTCTTTTTTTTTCTCTTTCTCTCTCTTCTTTCTCTTTCCTCTCTTCTCTCTTTGTTCGTCTCTTTTTATTTCTCTCTCTCTCTCTCTCTGCCTCTTTCTCATTCGTCGCGAATTGTTTTTTTTTTTTTTTTTTTTTTTTCTGTAACTTATAACCATCGATCTCACGTTTCCATCATTAAAATTAACTCGAAGTGACCGAAATAGTCGAATCGTTGAATTCGATTATAATTTTAGTTTATCGTAGTAAAAAAAATATGCACGACGACGACGATGATGATGATGATGATGATAATAATAATAATTTTACGATGTAAAAACAAGAAACAAGAAATTGCCGAGTCATTTTTTTAATTTTTTTTTTTTATTACAGGTGCGAAGCCATATCGGCAAGCGACTATATCGAATTTTCTAATTACATGGCGAGAGATCGAAAACATTCGAGATATTGCGGTCAATTGAAACCGTTTTTCGTTGAATCCGAACGTGAATTTTTTCGCGTTACTTTTAGATCGAACGATCGTTTGGACGGTACCGGATTTCAAGCGTTCTATCAATTTATTGGAGAAATCGAAGCGTTCACACCGAATCCCATACTGAGAAGTTGTTGTTCCTGTTTATGTTATTATAATAATAATCGAACGGTTCAATTTACGTGGTTGATCTTATTTATAATTTTCGCATCGCGAACGTCGTGTTTTTTTCATATAGTTTGCTGAGATTCGTTCGTATTATCGCTATCATCAATATAATTGTCAATTCTTCGTTCTTTTTATTTTAAAACGAACGTGAAAAGTTTTTTTTACTCTAAAAAAAAACTCTAAAAAAAACTCTAAAAGTTTATAAAAATTACACGCAGAAGAAGAAAGAAAGAAAAAAAACAGAAAATTTTAATAATAATAATAATAATAATTGTTTTTTTTATTTTGAACGAATCCGTTCGTTTGGAACGGTTTTTAAAATCATTACATCGCCTTTATTGTTTTTTTTTACTAATTTCGAAAAAAAATCATCAATATTAGTATTATTATTATTAATTTTTTACGCGCGCGAAATCAATTTTATACATAATAATAATAATAATAATAATAATAATAATAATAATAATAATAATAATAATAATAATAATAATAATAATTAAATGTTTTATTAATAAATTTTTTTTTTTTTTTGTTAATCAATTCGAAATTTTACTTTTAAAAAAAATCCGTTCGCCCTTCTCTCCCCGTCGGAAATTAACCGGAAACAAAATGAAAAAATCATAGACGTTATATTAAAAAAAAAAACAAACGAAAAAAAGCGGGAAATTTAATTATTATTATTATTATTATTATTATTGAAAAAAATAAACAATAATGGCTCCCCGAATTTTAGGATAAGAAACAAAATTTTTTTTTTTCCCCCCTTTTTAATTTAAACGTTAAAATAAAAAAATTATGCATATTTATTATAAGAAAATTATCAGTTCAATAAGGTTTATTCAAAGTAATTAATGTTACTTATAATAAATGTCTAGCCCGGTTATCGTTAAAAGACGCGTAAGTACACGTTAATCAATTATAAATCTATCATCATCTTATTATTAATAATAATTATCATTTCGTTCATTAAATCAATCATCCAATCATCACAATCGTAATCATCATTCACATTATTATTATTATTGTTATACATTATTATTATTATTATTATTATTATTATTATTATTATTATTATAATACATTATTATTATTATTATTTTACAGATCATCTATCCTTATGATCTTAAATATTCGTGTGCCGCATTTCCGCCGAGAACGGGTCACATAACTTACAATCTCGAAGGTCAAAAATATGAAACCTTAGCTTTAGAAACCGGAAGTAAGTATTGATACGATACGACGAATCCAATCATCATCATCATCATTATTATTATTATTATTACGGGATATTTTTTTTTTTTTTTTTTGATTTTAGAAACGTACGAAATGATATACCCGCTATCGACGGATGGTGACGGTTGGTTCGCAACCTGCGTTCAACAATATATCGAACCTGATTTGATAATGACGACCGAACATTGTTATTCCACTTACATTCATTTATATTGAACGTAAATTGAAAAATGACTACGACTCATCCTCGTTAAATGACCACGTGATATCATATGCACAACATGGATTCGAATCATATTTTTATAATAAAAATTTATAATTTGTTTGGTGAGTTTGAGTATTTATAAATGCCTAAACGTTAATTTCAAGGCGTTTTCAGAGACGCAAAAGAAAAATTTAAAAAAAAAAAAAAAACTGGGGAGAGGGAAGAAGGGGGGAATTAATAATAATAATAATGATAACGGATTTAAATTGAAGGTGAGTAAGTTTAACTAGGTGTAAATCATCATCATCATCATCATCATCCTCGTCACCGTCATTCTACCTGTGATTAAAAAAAAAAACGTATTATCAAACCTGCGAAACCAAAAAAAAAAAAAAAATTTTTTCCTCCCATTTTATCATCGTTCGATCGATTAATTATTATTATTATTATTATTATTGACGTTTTTCAAGGTGTGAAAACATTTGAAAAAAAAAAAAAATTTTTATTTATTTATAAATCACGGTTGATTATAATTTTTTTTTTTTCCAATACATTTCGATTGAGGAAGATGACGATCGGAAAATTCCGCCATTTTTAATAAACTCGAATAAATTTTTTTTTTTTTAATTCACGTCATTTAAAAAAAAAATATTAATTTACGTTACGCAACGCGTACACGCACGCACGCACGCACGCACGGACATATATTTTCGTAATAATGATGATGATGATACTAATAATAATAATTATTATTATTACACGCATGCATTATTAATGAGTTTTGCGGTTGATAATTTTTTTTTTTTTTTTTTTTTTTTTGACGACTTATTTTAACGCTATAAATAATGGAGCATATCCGTTCCAGGATGTTGGTTTTTGTTAAAATAATAATAATAATAATAAAAATAATGATAATACGAACTCTATTTGCTCTTTAATTATCGATCGAATCCGCGGTCGAATTTTTTTTTTTCTTCTGCTTTTTTTTTTTTTTTTTAATAAAAAAAATTACGATTTTATTCGACGATTAAATCTACGACAACAACGAAAAAAAATGGCGGCGTCACGTGACGAAATAAAATTTTTAAAAAATCTCATTCGAGGAAAGACAAACAAACAAACAAGTAAAACAAACGAGTCGTCGATACGATGAGGGCCGGTTTTTTTTTTCTCTCTTACAAGGACTCCAACTTTTAATAACCCGAGTTGAGTTTTTTTTTTTTTCCAGCATCCTGGTTACACCCCCTGGAGTATAAAAATTATCCTGCCAAAAATTTTAAAGTTAATAATAATAATAATAATAATAATAATAATAATAATAATAATAATAATGATAGATCCCCAAAAAAAAAATTTAAATTTGCTTAACAAACGCGATGACTACGAAATACAACAACAACAACAATCGACAACTACAACTTTAATTTATTTTAAAATAAATAACCGATTGTTGATCTACTTTTAATTTTTTTTTTTTAAGAAGAAATTTACATTCGCATATTTAATAATAATAATAATAATAATGATAATGATAATAATGATGATGCTGATGATGATGATGACGACATTTCAAGTTTTGTTGAGGTTGCCAAACTTGCTTTACCTAAAGCATACAGATGATTTTTCAAAATTATTTTTTTTTTTTACGATAACTTATTAATTTTATTTATTTATTTATTTATTTTAATATCATTATTATTAAATTTAGATTTTCTTCTTTCCCTCCCCTTCCCCCGTTTCATCTTGCTCCCCTTCGCCAGTCCCCCCGCACGCGAAAAAAAAAAATTTTTGTGTTACGTCACGTTTCGTGTAAAAATTTAAATTTTTTAAATGTTAAACATGGCACGGAGTAAATCACGTTTTCTTCGGGTTTTCGTCTGCCAAAATATTTTCAGATTCAATTCGGTGGTTTTATTCGCACCTTAACAAACGAACGAACAAACAAACAAACAAACGAAAAAAAAAAAAATTTTTTTTGTTTGAAACCTTGAAAACGCGATCGATAAATCGAATTAATTTTTTTTTTTTTTTTTTTTTTTTTTTTCAGGCACGTAGTTTCGATATCGATGTAGGAAAAATTTCCTGCAACAAACAACAAACAACAAACGAAAATTAACAAAATGGGTAATTGTATTTTAACTAAAAAAAAAAAAAAAAAATTTGTTTGTTTTCACCGTGAAATTCGCGACGGGGAAAAATAATATATGAGACAATGATTTTTTTAAACAGATAAATATTTTATCCTCACAACAAACAACAACAAACAAAAATGGGGGGGGACTTAGTGATTTCTTTTTTTCCCGGGAATTATAGAAAAAAAAAAAAAAAAAAATTTTATCGTTTGATATTTTATTACAATGTCGGGAAGTGAAAGAAAATAACAACAACAAAGAAGAACAATTGTACCTGTTTTAAAAGAAAAAAAAAAAAAATTTGTTCGGTAGTGGAAGACATTTTTTTTTTTTTTTTTTTTTTTTTTTACTTCCATGTTGTCAAAGTCACGTGTGCATTACCGGCGACACCATCCGCCATTTTTTTTTCTCTCATTCATATTGTCTCTCGCGTGTGTTGTATTAAATTCAGGTTCGAATAAATTTCCATAATCATCAAATTCGTTTATTTTTTTTATTTTTTTATTTTTACGTAAATTTATTTAATTGTTTTAAGTAATAATGATGATGATGATGATGATAATTAATACGATTTTTTAAAATAATCATTCGATTAATTAATTAATTATTTAATCCGTTTGTTGTTATTATTATTAATTCACACGCGAGTTAATTATTGTTGTGGTTGTTGATGAAAAATTATTTAGTGTTTCGCTTATCGGTTTAAACAAACGTCGCGGTTCGCTTATTTAAAAAAAAAAAAAACTGGAGAAATGGTATTAAACCTGGAAAACTGAATGGAAAAAAGGTAAGAGAAAACATATTTTTTTGTTTTTTTTTTTGGAGAAAAATTTCTGGAAAATTTTTTTTAAGAGAGAAGAAGGATGAAAAAGGGAAAAACTTGAAATTTTAACGATAATTTTTATAATCGTAGACGAAACTTTTTCGCTCCCCCCCCCAAAAAAAAAGAAAATGAAAAAAATTACCGTAAGGGACATTCAATCGTTTTTATTAATCGTTATTATTATTATTATCATTATCATTATTATTAAATTTTATTTTATAGACTATAAAAATTATAGTTTCCCCTTTCTTTTTTCATTTCTTTCTTTTTTTTTTTTTTTGATTAAAATTTAAAATTATTTCCGATCTTTTGATTTGTTATTATTATTATTATTAATAATTTTTATTCATTTAAAAAATTAAATAAATCTATTATTATTATTATTATTGTTATTTAAAAAATAAGAATTTGGGTTACGGTAAATATAAAAAGGAAAAAAATTTTAATGAAATTTTTCACCCGTGCGAAATTTATAAAAAAAAAAGAAATATGTCGGAAACTACAAGTCAATAACAACAATTATTATTATTATTATTATTATTATTATTATTTCATAGCGAATTGTAAATCATTAAACCACGTCTTCTTCCTACTTTTACCTAATGACACGATTTTACAATTGAGTTGTTTGTTCACGCATGAAATTTTATTTATTATTATTATTATTATTATTTTTTATTATTTATAGCCGTAAAATTTAAAAATTGTTGTCGTCGTCGTCGTTGTCGTTTGTTGTTGTTGTGCTATTGTGTCGAAATTATATATTTTTAACTACAATGAAAAAAAAAAAAAATTTTCCTCGTTTGTTCGCTTGTTTGTTTGCGTTGACTTAAGTAAATTTCTTACTTTTTTTTATAATTGCTTAATTTTTAAGTTTATTTTACCGAATCATTTTTTTGATTTGTGCCGGTTAAAATCACGTGACACGAGCCACGTGCTATATTCACCGTTTTTATTTTTATTAATTAATTAATTAATAAAAAAAATCCGAAAAAAAAAAAAAAATTTTTTACCCATTAAAAAACCATACGGGATTATTTTTTTTTATTATTATTATCATCATCATCATCATCATCATTAAATTTTGTTTTTTTCTTTTCTTTCTCCCGCTTTCGCTTATCCATTCCGTTCGCAAACGTTGTTGACCTTGAAAAATTTTACTTTCGTGACGTCATAATTTAAACAACCCTCGAATTTGTAAACAAAAATAAAATAATAATGATTTTTTTCTTTTTTTTTTTTTTTCATAACGTTTTTCTATAAAGCCGCGCGCGCTATTTTAAAGGGAATCGGGAAATTTTTTTTTTGTATACTGCTATATAATTCACATGTAAATATATCGTAATGATTTGTTAAATAATAATAATAATAATAATAATAATAATAATAATAATAATAATAATAATAAGAGTGATATATTTTTTTTCGATCAAAAGAAAAGTTAAAATTTACTTAAGAAATATGCAAAACATTTTTAACAAGGACCCATTTGTTTTTTTTCATTATTATT